TTGCTTCTTTTTTTGGAGATCCTGCTCGTACAGCATGGTGTGCAAATAAAGAAGATAAAAATCCATACTTAGAAATTGAACTATCTGAAATGACATCATTGACTGGAGTTGCTACACAAGGTTTGTCAATATTTGATAACTGGGTAACTTCATTTTTGTTTTGCTACAGTGATAACAGAGCTATATGGAACTGTTATAAAGAAAAAGGATACGATAAAGTGTTTGAAGCTAACTCAGACAAAAATACAGTTAAGCATCATTATTTTCACCATCCAGTTGATGGAAAATTTGTTAGAATACGACCACAATCATGGTATGGTAATCATTTATGCATGAGAGCTGAAGTTTATGGGTGTGCTATGGATTTGTTACCAGACCCATATGACTCATTCGGTAGCCTTCCGATTTTTATGGAAGATACAGAAGCACAAACCAGGAATGAAGTTTCACCAAAAGGTTTTTGTTTTGTTTTTAAATCTGAAGTATTAACATTTTTCCAATTTTTAAATAGTTATAAGAATACATTCATAAAGTTCAAACTTAAGTAAAATTTGAGTTTTATTTTAATTAATGAAATTTGAATTAATTAATTTGAATTAAATAAAATTATTTAAATAAGTTTTTATTTTTTTTTTCAGAGTCTTGCAATAATCCACTTGGAGTTTCTAATGGTGAAGTAGATGATATGCATCTATCAGCATCGTCTTCATTAGATTTAATACACTTGCCATACTATGGCAGGTTGATTCGAGAGTCAATTGATCAATCAGATATAAAAGGTTGCTGGTGCGCTCATGATGTTAATTTAAGGCAATATATTCAAGCAGATTTAGGTGAAGTAAAAACAGTTACGGGAATTGCAACTCAAGGATATATTGCACATGATAATTGGGTAGCTAGTTATCGGCTTGGTTACAGTGAAAATGAAAATTCATTAGAATGGTATAGAGAAAATGATGATGAAAGAGTAAAAAATATTTGTTTTATAGTTTGATTTTTTGTTAATTTGACAAATTTATTTTGATAAGAATTTTTTTTTCTTTATAATTATCTAACTGCACTGTGTATACTTATATATTATCATATAAAAGTTTGATAAGTGATTTTTTACTCATTTATTATTGCTTTATTCTTTTAAGAACATTCAGCTCTCTATTTTGTAGAATATGTTTAAAGTTATTCATATATATATATATATATATATATATATATATATATATATATATATATATATATATATATATATATATATATATATATATATATATTCCTATAGTAAAAGCTTTTAGTTTACCGCTAAAAATAGCTTTTACTGAATTTTTGTCAAACGACAAAATTAAGTACACTTTATGTAAGAGCCATTAATTTCTATTGAAACTATTTAAACTGGGTTTTTTATAAAACCTACCAAAATGCAACTTATTTAAATATTTTTTATTTTTTTAATAAAAATAAAAGCATTCTGAATGTTTTTATATATGTTAAAAAAATATCTATAATATCACTTATTCAACTTTGTTGTATTCCACTTCTTGGTCTGACGTGCTTCACTTAGCTTGACATCCTATCCATCTTTATTTATTTCGATATGTCCCAAGTTGTTATAGCAGGATGCCACTTCGTCACACAATGCACCTTGGGGGTTTTTTAGCCAAACATGTTCAGTAACTTGAAAAGTTTTAGACCCATTTGTTAAAAAATCATTCTATTGTTTCAATCCTATAAGTAATATAATGTCATTTTTCCATCAGATTTTTTTCTATTTAAGACAATATAGAGATGTACCTAAACTCTCAAATTATCTTGCGTATTTTTTCTTCTGTTGCAAATAGAAATTTCTTCTGAAAAAAGCATAAATTTTTATTACTCCAATGTGTTAATGTGTATTTTTAAAATTGAATTTTTATTTGTCACAGCAATCCTAGCACTCTGTTCAGAGCTGTCAATATTTTTTCCCACCAACTAGGTACTCTTCTTAACAGATAGGCCTTATTGTCTTTGAAAAAAAAACAAAAAAAAAAACAATAGTCTTTGATGATATCATCTTCACGTCAACATCTGAGTTGTATTCATCTACAAATTCCCGAAACGGATTTGCTGTTAGCTGTATTAATAGTTCACTTAATGCTTTTAACTTCAGTCTCAACTTCCTTGCTAAAGTATCAAAAATTCAGTGTAAGATTAAAGTTACAAAGTTTGTACACAATTGCAGTTTTTTGAGCTTTTATGCCAAAACCATAATAAAAACACACAAATTGGTACCTCATTCTGCCATACTTTCATGAACTTTAGATTGGTCTAAAGCCATGTTGTGTTTTCAACGATGTCTCCAATAATTTGAACAAGGGCTCCCAATGCTAAGCAACTAGCATCAACCCATACTTTACCTTCATTGTCTCACACTTCCCATTTTCCACAAGCAGGTTCACTTTCTCACACTTTATTTAGTATTTCCTTTAATACACAGCACTCCTTCATTATGGATCTCATCATTCCACCCACTTGTCAAAGAAACAGCTTTTTAATAAATAAGACTACATACAACAAGAAAATAACTGCACTCTGGTAAGTGGCTCATAAATTGTCTACAAATAGAAAACACCATCTTTCCTGATAACTCTTGTTTTATTTTATCCATTTGATTTTTTTTTTGACCGCATCAGTTTTCCTCCAACATTCTTCACTAAATTTCATCATCTTTACTTTTTAAGCCATATTTAAAAAAATGATTTATGATATCCATGCTCACCAAATTCTCATACACAAAAATACCATCCACACATGTAGATGTCCCTTTCCTCAACATTTCATCTTATTCAACAATAGCTTTTACTACGGAATTCATAATGTCACATTTAGTCTGAATCTAAGTTGTGTTAGACAGTTTGTTCTAAAATATCACCGTTAGATATGGCCACAGTCTCATCTGTTTTCAACTGGACATATGTTTTGCCGAAGTTAATGATTGCAGGTTTGTTAATCTTCCATCTCCACTGCCTCAATTTCTCTTTACAGATGTCTGAATCTTTTGTGAATAGCTCAAAGAATTTCTTAGCTTCCCTCCAGTCTAGCACTGGCCGAACTTTGTTTTTTTTATTTCAATCAATTACTGCGATCAGTGAAAGCTGATCCTTTGGCAGTCCCATTCATCATAATTCAATGAACATTCTTGTTTTATCTACTCTTTTAATTTACTCTCAGACTCTTGCTTAATGTCTTCCAGAACCGCATACTGAGCTACCATATTTGCAGATAGGTTGGAGTTGTCTCCATCTCTTTATATTCATTTTAATTTCTACTCCATTCTATCAAACACTCTTTCATAGTCCTGCTTCTTGATTTCATGTTTTTCTTTTACTTTCTGCTGCCCCACACATATTTCCACTAAAACCCCTGACTTACTAATCATTTTGAACTCATTTTTAGCATTCATCTGCTCCAAAGAGTCCAAAGCATTCCAAAAAATCTTTGGACTTTGTCCCTGAATGTTTTCATCTTTAAATTGCTCAACAGCACAAGTCTGTCATCAGAAACCAATTTTTGAAAGATGATTGTTGTTGAACATCCAATATCCACTATAGCTTTCATGGTTCTGTCAACTTTCATTTGAATAACAAAAAATGCACTTAATCCATAGTTTTGTGAGAGCACAAATTTTGTGGCACTACTTGCTCTCCTGATTGTTTTCTTGCTGCTTGATACAATTTGTTGCCCTACATACCCTACTTTTTTGTATTTATCTTTTAAATTTTGAATACTTTTGTTTTTGCAGCTTTTTCTTGGCAATGTTGATCGCACAAGTATTGTTAAGCATTTTTTGAAGCATCCCATACAAGCTCGATTTGTACGAATTAATCCTCGTGCTTGGCATGGTATTCATATATGTATGAGGTTCGAAATCTTCGGCTGTCAAAATGGTATATTTAAATTTTATATAGCAAAGTTCACTTATGTTATGGATTTGATAAATTTAGTTTTTTACAGTCAATCTATTTTTTTCTCTAAATTTCCTTAGATGAAAACAATGAAGCCAGCTTATCTCATTCTGAAATTGATGATCTATTTCTTAGAGGAGATATACACAAAGATAAAGATAGTAATGAACAAACAGGTGATTATAAGCACAAGATTCCTCCAAAGAAGTCTAATCGAGTTTTTGATAATGATGGTATAAGATTACCTCACACTCCTCTCAAATTAAATAAAGTTCATAAAGCTCCTGAAGATAATGCCTTGCAGAGGCAATTAACTCCAGGGGTAAATCTTGCAAAAGAAATTCTCCATACAAGTTACCCAAAGCCTAAATTTAATTTACATTTTTTTAAAAATATGAGTTTTTCTGAACCAATGATGCCCTCTCACAAGCTACCAATAAAAGTTGCATCGCATACCAAACCATCGCACCCTCCACATAAACCAAGTAAACCAAATAATTTCTTATTTCATAAACCTACGCAACAAAAAAATATTTTTCAGCTTGGTGATAATATTCAACAGTTTTCCAGTCTTAACAATGAAATGAAACAACCATTGTTACAAGAGTTTTCCAATGATAATCATATGAAGCAGCCATTGTTACAAGAATTTGAAAACAAAAAAAATATTGATGATATGAAGAACAAAGAAAAGCTTATTCAAAATTTTTTTGATAACCATTTGCCAAACTGCAAACGAAACAATCTTGGTGATTGTAAACCAGTTACTGATTATTACAAAAATATTCCATCAAATATAAATATTGCTGCTATGTTTCCTAGAGCTACGAATTCATTTGGTCTTCCGCAACATTTACCAATGCATCATGCTCCCCTTATAAATTCTGCTGAAGTTCTTACTAATTTTCCAGAACTCAGAGAAAATGGCATTACTGAAGAAGTTCTTCAAAGTCTTGCAGAGCATATACCAGACCTTGAAAAAAGAATATATGCTCACTTCGCCATGAAGAATAATATGTTACTAAATCATGAAAACAATTTGCTTCATCAGAACAATATGTGGCAACAAAATGATCTCGAACAATCAAACCTTGCATTTATGAAAAATTATAAAGATTATCTAACTTATATGAATCAAGAAACAGGCCCAGAGTCAGAGATTTCTGCAGGTTTACTTCCAGATCAACACAGAGTTAATGAGGCAATAGTTGAACCAGAGATGCCTTATAACAATCCTTGGAACACTGGATCAACTCAATCATTTGTTGAGCAGACACAAGCTCAACAAAACCTATTAAATCATCAATTGCAGAATGAAAATCAACCATTATTTCAAAATAATCATCTTTTTCAAAATCCACAGCAATATTTTTCTAATAGTAACCAAGAAACATTTTCTAAACCATATGAATTTGAAAATCCTTGTACACGGAGTGGAGGATGTAATCCAATTTTTCCAAATGTTGGTCTCTCTGAACAATATGCATACAAAAACCCATTAGTTACTCCTCATTCATCTAATGTGTATCATGACAATACTAAATATACTCCTGATGAATTGCTTCCTTCAGCCCCAGATCCAAGATTTGTGGAGTATTACAATAAATATATGGAAGGAAAGTCTATGGAGGATGAAGATACTTCTCTTCGGCATCCTCCACCTGTTGCACAACCATCAAGTTATATAGAACAGTCAACATCATTGTCATTTTCACTCCCATCTCAGCCAACTTACTTTCCCCCACCTCCTCCTCATCTTCCTCTACCGCCGCCACCCCCACCTCCACCCCCACCCCCACCTCCACCACCGCCCCCACCACCCTCACCACCATTGCAGATTCCATTTCCTTTATCATCATCTGGTGCAATGCCTATTATTGAAAGTTCTGTTTACCTTGAACAGCTCACCACGCCACCACCATTGGATATTCAGACGGCTTATGGTTTAAGTCCTTCAGTTTCAGATGATTCTTCTATTAATGAAGATGGTGGAGATTGGACTCCTTATAGTGTATGCAGTACAACTTGTGGCAGAGGAGAAAAAAAAAGGTTTAGGCGTTGCTCTGTAGCGGACTGTCCATCAGGAAGTGTTGAAGTGGAATCATCACCTTGTGCTCTTGATGAGTGTCCTGGTACAATATTTTTTATTTTATATTATGTTGTACATTGTTAAAATATTTTACATCCTATATTTATATATTGAAAATTTATTTTTATGTATTTTTCAGTTATACCTATTAGATACTAAGTTGTTATTAATTAGCTTAGGGGCATCCATAAAGTATGAATGCAGTAAAACTACTGATTTATGGCTCCCCTTGTACGCACCTGTATGTTTTCAATAACCCTTCCCTTCTGCATACATATGCATTATTTAATACAAAACTAAACCTCCCTTTTGTGTAAATTTTTCAAAACGTTGAAAACAAAAAAACTCTCAGTTACTTTTATTCAACTGTTTTATGACATATTATTGATTTTGTATACTTTGTATGTACTCACTGTCTTTAACACACTCCCCCTCTTTTATGCATTTGTATGTTTTTGGGTAACCTCTTTCCACTCCTCCATATCTGCGTGCGTACTTTATGGAATACCCCTTTAAAGACTTTAGTTTTTATATAAATTTTAAAATTTTAACATTTTTGCATAAATATAAAATTAAAGTGTTTCAAAAAAAAAATGTTTATAATTAAAAAGCTGTTTTTTCTTCACAACTTTATATACTTTTGTTATCCATTAGAAGTGAATCCCTACAGCTGGTCATCTTATACACCATGTAGTACTACCTGTGGAACAGGTACAAGTGTTCGCTACCGACTTTGCAATACAAAAAACTGTCCTGAAGATGGATACGAGACTGAGTTAATTAGTTGTTACAAACCTAGTTGTCCTGGTAATTTTTTTGAAATTGTTTTTATTTTAATTTTCAATTCTTTTGAAATTGTTTCCTATTTAAAAATCATGTAGTAATATACTCTCTTAAAGATTTTCAACTTTTGTTTTGTTATCCTTTTTTGTCTTTGTAAAAAAAGTTTTTTTTTAGCTTCTTTTAAGATCTGATTTCTAAAAGAGAAATTTTTTCTCTTGATACTATTTAATAAGTGATTAGCTGAAACTCTTTTTCTTATTTTTTAAAGAGGTTTTTGTCATTTTTAGAAAAGCTCTGCGGTTTATTGTTCTGGTAATATGACCTAGTAATAACCCACTGTTATGAAACATAACAAGTTGAATTTAATAATGAATTAATAATCGTTAATAACTTTCTTGAAACATAGCCATAGGTTTAATTTCCACTTGAATTTTTTTTTTGGAATAATTCTTAGACTCTGGTTGCAATAATTAAAGTGAGAACTTTTAATTGAGCCCAAAAACTGGCATAGCATACAGTCTTGATAACAACTACATGCTGCGTAGTATGTAGCTATTCTGTAGGAATTTTCTTATCTGTTTTCTGATTATTATTTTTGTTATTTCTACCAATTCACAGACAACTTTTAATTTTTCAAGAAAGAATTTGAATCTTGATTTAAAAACCCTTTTTTTTTTCAACTCAAAAATTGATTTTGAATACAAATTTTAAATTTAATTTTCACCCTTTACTCCTGAATTGTTAATTGTAATATCCAATCAATTTTGTTAAAAATTAAATTTTCTAAACAATGAAGGCTTCTTCCAAAGTTTGCCATGCTGGTCCCCTTCATAACTGTAATTTCATATAGTCGAAAATTTTAAAATTAATATCAAGAAAATTTCTAAATTACTAAATATAAAAAATTTTATTTTGAAACTGAAACTGTTGCATTATAAAAGCAAAAACTAAATAATTAATTAATTAGTTTCACTATATTTGCTCTACTAATTATATAACACGCTGTATTGAGCACTCTTACTGGAAATATTAACATAATTCCAGTATATATATATATATATATATATATATATATATATATATATATATATATATATATATATATATATATATATATATATATATATATATATATATATATATACTTAAATATAGAAAAAACAACTTTTAATGGAACTTAAAGTTTCATGCCTATCGGCAATCATCAGCCATGAAGTACCTTTATGGTACTTCAAGACTGATGATTGCCGATAGGCAATCATCAGTCTTGAAGTACCATGAATTCTATATTTAAGTATAAAAGGCTTTGTTTTTGAAAAACTAAATATTTCTTAAATATTGAGCACTCTACAACGATCAAGAGTTTAGTATTTTTAATACTAAATCATACAACAACAATATATATATATATATATATATATATATATATATATATATATATATATATATATATATATATATATATATATATATATATATATATATATATATATATATATATATATATATATATATATATATATATATATATATATATATATATATGTATATATATATATATTATATTGTATATATATATATATATATATAGCGAGCGAGAGAAGTTTTTTTCTATTTTTTTTTTTTCTATTTTTAGTTTGTTTACTTGACTTTGAAGTTATAATAAATAGTATGGTGTTAGATCAATCAGGTCACGGAAATAGTGGGTATTTGGACAAAAACACTTTAATCCGCGAGCATCCTCAAATTTGTGGCCATTACGCAGATCTTTCTAGAAATGGTCAGATAATAATATCAGCTCACACTTTCCTTTTTAAGCCTAGAAATGGAATATCCATAGCTTGTTGGGTTAATATCCAAACCGATAATATGAGTGGAAAGCATTCAATATTTAGTACAATACGAGAAGTGAGCCAACGAAATTTTTTAGGTAGTTGCATTACTTTTTGTGTTTTTAAAATCTTGTTAGTCGATTTTTAAAAAATGTTAATTTTTTTCTAGGCGGTTATCATTTTGAGTTGGATGGAGGGGGAGTACGTTGGTTTCATCGTGATGAATATGGTACTATAGTATTCAGTATTCTCACTGATCAAGTAACTCTGCCACGGGTTTGGATGCATATATGTGTTACATACGATGCGTACAAAGGGCTTGCCAAGGTTATTTTTTTTTTTTTATCTGATCTCAAAAAAATAAGGACTTATTTCACACTTTTTTTTTTTTTTTTTTATCTACTTACTAACTTTTTATAGATATTTGTGGATGGCAAAGAGCGAGGCAGCAAAGAAGGAAGAGGTTTGCTTTCTTTAGATTGGGGTTATAAAGCAAGTATAGGGAGCTACGACTTTGATAATCGACAACTTATAGGTTGGGTAGACGAGTTTATAATATACGACTACGCACTTGAAGAAGAACAAGCGTTCAATTTGCTTGGAAAAATGCGTTGTCCTACAAGTAATGCAACCACTGTGGAAATTGACGCATTCAAGTTTGAAAATATTCACAGTAAAAGAGGTCTCATGGATAGTGATGCTAACATTGATATGTTATCCAGAATTAAGTCATTAAGCAAAAAAAACAATGCAGGAAATGATAATAAAACTTTGTCAAAATTAAGTAAAATTCTTTCAAATACCACACTTGGTATTGCTGATATTGCGCATAACAAACTAGCAAATCAATCAGACACTGAAAAACTTGGTATAGTTGATGTTACGCAAAACAAACTAACAAACCAATCGAACACTGTTAGAGTTGGTATAGTTGATGTTACGCAAAACAAACTAGCAAATCCATCAGAAACTGTTACACTTGGTATTGTTAATATTACGCATAACAAACTAGCAAACCATTCAGACTCTGTTAGAAATAAAACTAGGAGGAGCATCGTCAAATCAAATCGTAAAAATCCACATCGATAAAATTATTTTTTTCAACCTTAAATGTTAAATCGAATGAAAGGTTAAAAATTTTTTTTAGCTTCAACATATACCTTATAAAGCAATCCTCCAAGTCGGTATTAGTACCGGCGTTGGTCCGACAAAAGAATTGCAGCCAAGAACACGCTTAAACAATAGCCATAAAAAGTCGAAATGACATTGACAGTTGATCGTTTCTCTTACGTGTATATATTTCGATGTTTTTATATTGTAATTAAAACAAGCTGTTTGTTTTCGTCAAACACATTACGTGACACGGTTTGTTGTTTTTAGGCTGTTTTTGTTTATGCACAAGTTATTTCATCTCGATAACAAATTTAAAATTTGCATACAAGTGCACTCATTGTTAATATTTAAAATACTATGTAAATAACAGAAATGATGTAATTTTTTTATGGAATACAATATCTTTCACTTGTATGATAACGAATCCTTCTTATGACAACCAGTGGCGGATTAAAGCACTTTAGGGCCCTAGGCAGAGATATTATGAGGGTCTAATTTGGGCATATGATTATAAAAAAATGTACAATATAAGTTTAAGATTGTTAATTGTTTTTTCTGTTTAAGTTGTCAAATAACTTGTTATATATTATTATCTACATATTATTATCCAGTATATATCTACATATTGTATATATCTACATATTATTATACATATCTTATATTACACAACCGTACTTATTCACCGTACTTGTACTTCATTTACAACTAAAGTGTCCTTCGATTTGTGCACGTTTGTTAAAAAAATGGCTTCAATGTAACTTTTACTGTTTCAAAAAATTCCTTTTAAAAAAGAATTTTCAAAAAAAGAGAGTGAAGTTTGCATAAAACAATAACTTTGATTAGTAACAGAAGAATAACTAAGTCATGAGCTGTACTCATCACCATTTGAGTTGTACACCTTATGACTATTTGAGTGTCATCGTTGACTCAATGACTGTTTAACCAACATTTTCCGTTTCTCATCTGCTTATGCAGAATTTAAAAAGTCAATATCAAAATGTCGACGTTTAACACTGACTTTGATTAAAAAATAATTTCATATGCTTTCACAAAAATCATTAGGCCACAAAACTAAAGCATTTGAAGATACATCATTATTAATGGATAACCTTCGCATTCCTTATTTTATAAGTCAAACTCAGGATCATTACTTTGCATTATGTCAGGTAGAAATGTAAATTATTCTTGCTGATCTGTGTTTGAAGCAGCAGAAAGGAAAGCTTGTAGCTTTGAATTTTTTTTTTGTACTCGTCATCCTTTCGTTGTTTCATTCTCTCATTCATTTCTCTTTCTCTCTCTCTCTCTCTCTCTCTCTCTCTCTCTCTCTCTCTTTCTCTCTCTCACACACACACACACACACACACTCTATCTTTCTTTTTGATATTTTCTAGTTTATAATGGTATGAGATAATTTTAAAGAGATTTAAAAAATAAAAACAACTTGTATAAAATAATATTAAAAAAAAGTTTTTAATCATAACTTTTTTTTTGTAATTTACACAGTGGAAATTTGCACTAATATTATACATTAATGATTTTTCAATACAGCTTGTAATTGAATAGTATTTTAATCATAAATTAGAAACAAATGATATTTTCATAGAAAAGCTAAGCTTACCAATAAGTTTATAACTTTACGTTATCACAATAGCTAGTAAATGAATACAGTTGTATGAAAAATGCAGAATCAAAAAAATTGAATAATATGTTATGTAATTAGGTTGAATACTTTGATATTATAATTTAAAAAAAAAACATTTACTTTTAATTTTTTTTAACGAAATGAAATAAACACTATCGCTATTAAAAAATCAATTTAACTTTATTTTCACGCTAAAAATACGGGTCTTAAATAATTACCAAGTGTGTTAAACGGGTAATCTACTACTGATTATAACTTCTGTTGCTTGTGTATTGGTTCCCTATATATAACCTGTGAAGCTAATTTTTTGCATCAAACAGTCAATTACTACAATACAACTAATTTTCTGTATCAGACAGAATTTTTAACGGCTTAAACATATTTAACTGTTTTTAATATGCCCATTTTTCCGGACAGAAAAGTGGCGAAACAAGGGCTAGTGCTCTTGACGTATCCAAAGCTTTCGATAATGTTTGGCATGCTGGTCCTCTCAATAGGCTTTCATCATTTGGTGTATCTGGGAAAATTTTTGAGATAATCAAATCATTTCTATCTAACCATTTTATTAAACTCATCCTCGAAGACCAACACTCTTCTTCATTTCTTGTAACTTCTGGATTCTATCCTTGGTCCTGTTTTGTTTCTTATCTTGATTAATGATCATCCTGACAACCTTACATCTAAAGTGGCTCTATTTCCTAACGACTGAACTTTAATCTCCTATCTTAATAAAAATGCTTTCTCGTTTCAATCGCTTAGAACAAACAGTCAACCTTAAATCTTATCTCACTTCTAAAAACAAATTTGGGGCTTGCAGTGGCTATTGAATTTTAACTCCAACAAAACTCAGTTGTTTACTGCAAACAACTATTGTATTACTTTCAACATTTCTATATTGATGAATGGCTAACCTCTCACTTAGTCTTCTTTTTTACGTCTTCTTGGATTATCGTTCACCACTAACCTCTCATGGAGATCATGTATAAAATTGATTGCATCTGCTAAGTTAGCATCTGCTAAGATTTCTCTTTATCGTGCTCGCCATAATCTTACTCCTGATGCGTTTTCGGACATCGTCTAAGTTTGTTACGTTCTTAAAGAATGTTTTTTGGTATGGAACTTAAACTAAAGATACAATATCTTTCCAGGATTTTTCGAGTATTTTTGCAGGGTTTAAAAATGAATTGCTATATTTTAAATATAGAGCATTTGCTTAAAATATCTTTTTGTATATCCGGCCAAAATAATGCCAGTTCTTATTTAGGCATTTATTAATTCAATTCTAGAAATTTATTATTAGTCGTTTATGGTGGCTCATTTTTGCCATTGCCATACCGCTTTACTTGTTTACAAATGCCATGAAAAAAAATAAAAATAAAATGGCGACTAATATCCGAAAACAACGTGTAATGGAAAGCTTGGAATGCTACGTAAAACAAAATCTTTCAAGAAAAGAAATTTTAGACTTTTTAAAAGTTTTTGCAATATTCACGGAGTAAAATAACTCTTGATAGGTATCTTCAACATTTAAAATAGTTTGTCAAATTGACGTGTCGATTCTCAAAAATGCAACAATTAAAGATGTTCAAAATGCTGTGAAAATAGAATTACAAGACCTTGGTGCACTGCTTGGATATCGTACTATGTATAAAAGGTTTTAGGAAGGTGTTACAATTTAAATGTACTAAGCGCTGTTGTTCATGCAGCTATGTTCGCATAGCACTTGAAAAAAGAAAACTTGCTTTAAACAGAAGAAAGCCAAGGACAACTATATAGAATGATCTATCAAAATAGTATTTGACAGTATAGATACTTGCAGTAGAAAAATAATGTGGATAAATGTGTGGAATAGTAATAGTCCTCCAAAGCTTATTGTTAGACTCTATCTGAAATATTAATTGAAAAATAAATTCGTTTCCCAGTATATTAGAGTAGAAAAAGATACAGAAACTAAGAACGTAGCTGCTTTGCCTGTTTACACCAAAATAATATGAATGATCCAACAGATAGCATCAATTACGGCCATTCAACCTCAAACCAGGTAATATCTTAGCCAAGTTTTATAATAATACAAATTAAAATTTAATATTAAACTAAAAAAAATATATTTTTTTATTGTATTACATTTTAGATTAAACGATGCACAGGAGGGCGGGTCATTTTTCAACTTTTTCCAGTAAATGGTTAGGCCATATGATCTTTAAATGTTTTGGCCCTTATATAAAAGTAATCCAAAAAAAAAAAAAATTTTATGTAGGTTTTTAAATTTTGACCTAAAAAATCGAGGTTTTGGGTAAAAAACGCTACATACGCGGTTTGCCGCAACTTTTGACCGGTTGCTCCGATTGACTTAAAAACATGTTTTATGGAATCCTCGATCCCAATACCTCTAGTTAGACACCTAGATAATCATTTTAGCTGAAAAACTTATAATTATAAAAGTTTACAAAAATTGTTATTTTTGATATATTTTGCTGAAATATCTTGCGTAGTTACAATAAGATGTTTTGGTTAAACTTAAATTTATTTAGTAAATTATTTGAAAAACTTATGAAATATCATTCATAAGTTGCTGCATTTATATTGCCACATTTTAAACCGTTGCTTTAGCATCTGAATTTGCTGCTTTTTAAATGCTGCATTTGAGTTGACACGTTAAATCTACAATAAATTTTTTTTTTTTTTTAATTTCTCTGTGTACATAACATAAGAATTTTACAAATTCCACTACATAATATAAAAATTAACAAAATAAGTAAAACAGATAGGGGCTCAAAGAAGATGAGGAAGACAGAACGTCATCGCAATCTTTTCATAGAACCTCTTTAACAAGATTTAATTAAAATATCGTAATATGACATACAAAATAAAAAATTTCAATAAAATGTCATAACAAAATGCGTAATCCGCTTATAAAATTTGTCAAGCAACAAACAAAAGTAGAAACAAAACAAAAACGTATTTAAGAGAATTTATCCAAAGCATTATTAGCAAAAAATGTTTCACAGATTTTAAAAATTTCTTTTTTTGTTAAAAACTTGAATGAACTTAACGAACTCACCGTACCTTTGAACCCTTTTTGAAAAATATTCCATACTTTTAGACCTCGATATAAAATGCTGTATTCTGAATATTTATTTATTATCCTAGGCAGTTTATATGTGTTCAACATATTCGCTCTTAGATATTAGTTATCATTTTTATTTAACTCAAACTTATTATTAAAGCTTATAGGAGAGATATTGTGATTGTAACGATACATGAAAATTAAACGCTGGTAGATATTTATTTCAAATACATTCATCATTTTTATATCTTTCATCAAGGGATTAGGGTGTCCACGCCTATTTTTAAAATAAATGATTCTACAGGCATTTTTCTGAAAACTATAAAGTTTCTTAAGCTTTGCTGTTTGAGTACTTGCCCATGAAATGATTGTATAGCTGATGAGGCTGTGAATTAGCCCAAAGTAGATTAATTTAAGACTATTTGTACTGATGTACGAGCGAACTCGATACATTAAACCTATGATTTTGGTAATTTTTGACTGGATATATATTATATGAAGAAACCAGGATAAATTTTCATCAACAACGATTCCCAAGA